TTTCATCACTATACTTAACATTACAAAAATCTGGACAAATGTAGTTGTAATTTCGGATACAGAGCCAAAGTATATTTAATAACCTCCCATGAGAGACACTCAACAATGATATAAAAATGTAAAATAACAAAGTTAAACTTACAAAACTAAAACTTCTGTTTTATATTTTCTTAACATGACATTATTTAATTTTTAAATTTCATATATTATAATTGTAAATTTATAAAATATATATAAAAAAATTCCCTTCCCTTTTTTATGCACTATAGGGAAGATGATTTATAGTATAGTAAAAACGTAGTATTTTATCCTTTTTTTTTATTTCTCTTCTCCATTTTTATTATTTTAGTTTGTTAAAAAATCTTACATCATTTAGAAATTAACATTATAAAAAAAATCATGAACCCCTCTTTTTTTAACTCTAGGATTTTTCTTTAACTCTAGAAAAAAAAGTGACTTTTTATTTAAATATTACAAAAAAAAAAATTTCAAAATATCATACACCGAAATATATTTATTAAAGTGTTACATTTATTATTACATTGAGAATTTGACTTCTCACTAACCAATTTCTCACCTATATTTTTTTTTTCATTTATGTATTGAGAAATGGGTTAATTAGTAACCAATTTCTCAATTGCAATTTTTTTAATATTATTATTTTTACAATATATACTTTTTATTTAAATAATTAGCTTGAAAAATTAGTTAATATATAAATAAATTCATAATTTTTAAATTTCATAAGAAGAGATTATAAATAATTTAAAGATGTATAGATTCATTATGCAATACAAATTAAAATGTACATACACATTACCGAAAATAAGATTTCAAAAGATCAATTACATTGTAAAAATAATTAAAAAAATATAGATTTATTTTCTCGTGCCCTTTAAAATGAAATTCAGAGTGCACACCACACATAATTTTAAAATAAAAAATATAGACAATTAACTTTCATACATACTTCAAAATCAAATTCATAAACAATAATTAATGATGCATGTGTCTATTAGTACCAAAATAGTCATTGCTTAATCTTAGATAGACATGATTCAATTAAGAGTGTGTATTCAATACCTGACAGTGAGTGCACATAAGAGAATTATGTGTTTGTGTTCTACATTTGATACATTGCACCAACTTTCATGAGACAATTAAAAAATGTGGATAGAAGAAAATTAAATGTTAACATAAGTTATAAAAGCAATCAAAATAATTAGTTTCATCAACTATTTGTCAATTTAATGATTTTTATGGTTTAAATTTCCTAACCTGTGGCATGACTGAACTACATTCAATTAATACTACAATAGTCCAAGGCCTGAACTAGAAAGTGAATGTTATTCAATGACGATCAAATCCTACAAGATAAATGGACTCTCACATAAGATGGAGGTTAAAGATCCAGGCATATGACCACAAATCTAGTCGAGACAATTGACTTATTACATAGAAAATCAAAAACTTACCAATTAGAGCATTGATTATGTCGACTTATCAAATGTGTGAAAACTTATTCAATTAAAGACAGATAAAACTTGTAACTTAATTAAGATCCAATAAGTATACTCAAAAATATTAAACAAGGTCTTAACTAATGCAAAAATAAAAGCAAACTCTTACCTTGTGCTTGAGTTCGACAAATGCGATATGCATTTCCTAGTGCAAGAGATGTTTACCCCAAAAAAGGGACAATCAGTTGGATAATTCACAATCAATCTAGATGAAATGTGTTGTGATTGTGAAAAATTCTAGAAATTACACAAGTCTTACTCAGTTGTTATTGTTAATTGTAAAAATTATTATATTATTAAAAATAATTGCATTGATAAGAAATAAATGTAAATTTTATTGTTTGTGTACTTCCTAAAAATCACATTTGTAAGGCTTTTATTTTATTTTTTTTCTTCTATTTGATAGAGGACTAAAGCTTTAATATCATATTAGTGGGGTTGATATTTAATAAAAGTGTTTAAAGATTATTAATCTTTTGTATATCAATTGGTGTTGTATTTCATCTTAATGAATTTAAGCTTTTTTTTTTTATAAGCATGATTAATTTTTAATATTTTTTATTATTTAATAATTTAAGGATAAAATTATCTAAAAATGTAAATACAAAAAATCAACTTTATTATATTATGTTATAAAACAATAATGACTTAAATGGTGATACTTCTTTAAAAAATAAAAATATGACACAAAAGCAAGGAAGGGCAGAAACTTATTAATATGTAATCTTGCAATTCAATTAGACCCAACCCATTTATTTTGCAATATACATTGTGAGACTATAACATGATTCCTATGTCATTTTGGTTTTAGAGTGTTATAGTAAGAGTAAATTGTAAAATGAGAAAATACATGTTAGTATTATGATTGTCTAGTACTACTTTGTTGGAACGTAGGTATAAAGAGTGTGAAAACAAGACTGACACTTTAAAAAACGTTTACACCTCACTCACTCTAATTTTCAACTGTGTGTATCTCTAGTGTTTACCATCGAATTATTAGAATCTTGTTGTAACAAAAACAAACCTTATAAATTTTCTAAACCCATTAGTGTTTGTACCTCCAATTTTCCACCCTCATATATAGGCATGGCAACGAGGGAGGGCGGGGCGAGTTTTACGTTCCCCGCCTCCGATACCCGCTGGGGTAAAATCTAGGTCCCCATCCCCGCCCCCAGCGGGGACGGGGTTCGGGTTTCCCCGCCCTGCCCTCGTCCCCGCTCCTATTTTTTTTTCTTTTTTTTCTTTTTTTCTTTTAAATAAATATGAACAATTTTTAAAAAAATAAAAGAAAAGAAAAATAATATAAATTTTTACTTATAAATATTTCTAATTTTGGTTTATATATATATAAATAATTTTTTAATTA